TTTTAGTTTGTCTGGACATGCTAGTCTCAACGTACTCCTGTTCATCCACGACTTCCTCGTCGTCTTCATCATCAACATCGTCATCATCATCCTCCTCCTCTTGGTCAATGTTATCATTGTTGCCTTGAACTCGCTTGTCTGTGTGCTGGGACCAATCATCCATTCTGGCCGACTGATGTTCCACTGACTCGTCTCCGGGTCCAGGTTGCAAGCAGGCCGGTTGCTGTTTCCACGAGAGGCTAGTCGAGTGCTGATTGACCGACTTGACAGTCGAGCTCACATGACCGGGACGAGGAGGACATGAGAAGTCCATTGGTCCGGGAGATCGTGAAATGCAACTGGACGCTGTCATTGTCTGCAATTGGCAAACTTGGCTATTGTAAAGTTGCGAAAGTGCGGCCAGGTTTGCCTTTACTCCTACGTCTCTGTACTCGCAATAACCAGATATCCTGTCTTGAGCATGCAGAAATGCCGTCTTCAACGAGGCCTTCGAATCTAGAATAAAGTAAATCATGCGACACTTTGAATTAGTTGAGAAATTTTTTATGTAGAGAGTATTCGAGATTTTCGCAATTTATTGGAAAAGCACTGACTCACCGTCGGTGAATTAAGGTGATTTAAGGAATGATAGCTAAGCTTTCTAGCAACAAGATGAGTAGATACGGATACCAGTGGGTCATGAGAGACGCGATATACAAGTCAGTTTCAGGCCTCATCCAAATCATACTGTGTGGCGAGATTGTGATTAAGCAACTAAATGTTGTCTATAGCGATTAATTAAATTACTTATAGTTGATATAAGTAGTGTTTGAGATTATCAGTAATTTGTGAAGAAGAACTCAGTCCACTTAGAAGTGGGTTGGCTTCGCTGTCGCAACTTGTTCTTTTTATCAGGGCGACTTAGCAGAACATATCTTGTCCGAAGTCTTCTGCCATGGTAGTTGTCATATTGTTATCTATTTCGATTAATTAAATTACTGATAGTTGATATAAGTAGTGTTTGAGATTATCAGTAATTTGTGAAGAAGAACTCAGTCCACTTAGAAGTGGGTTGGCTTCGCTGTCGCAACTTGGTCTTGTTATCAGGGCGACTTAGCAGAACATATCTTGTTCGAAGTCTTCTGTCATAGTAGTTGTCATATTGTTATCTATTTCAATTAATTAAATTACTGATAGTTGATTTAAGTAGTGTTTGAGATTATCAGTAATTTGTGAAGAAGAACTCAGTCCACTTAGAAGTGGGTTGGCTTCGCTGTCGCAACTTGGTCTTGTTATCAGGGCGACTTAGCTGAACGTATTTTGTCCGAAGTCCTCTGCCATAGTAGTTGTCATAATTCCCAGCATCAGAAAATGGACTTGGAACTTTCTCAGACGTTTGGCCGGCATCATTAGTGAATGCTGGCATTCTCCGCATCAATCTACGAACTATTCAAAGATACAAGTGAAGTCAGTCCCTCGGCCAACATTCCGCCGAAAACGGTTACACTACCATTCCACCGTCTGATGCTGGCAATTATGATTACTACTGGTAGTCTCGAAACCCTACTCTTATACGAATATAATTACTACTACTACTACTGAGTCTCGCTGACAGCAAGACCAAGCTGCGAAAACGAGGTCAACTTACTTCCATAAATCGAAGAAGAGTTAGACAATACCGGCTTCCACACTATCTTGATCTTCATATCTTAATCACCTTAGTTCGCTTAAGGCGATTTAAGGACTTACAGTTGAATTTTTCAACAATAAAATACCTACTCATACTGAATATAAGTAGCATCATCGATTATGATAGAAGATAAATATTTGCTTAATTGATGACCCTAACCCTAAGGTCTCCTAAAAGTTAGAGCTAGTATTCGAAATCTTTTTTGAAGCCTCGAAATAAACATAATAATTTGGAAGGAGACTGGCTCGCTACTTTACACGCTTGACCAGAGTTTGGATTCATTTAGAGGACTTGGTTATATCTGCAGTTCAATGGTACTTAAATTCAATTCATGTACTGAATAGAGTATTCTTGCAACCAACTTGCAAGTCAAGTAATCACAATTTCCATAGCCGTATTGAATAGTTTATTTAGACTTATTATATTGCCCTACAAAAAACCGAAGATCTACGGAACACATGTGTGTGTACAAGGAAGGATATAAATAAAAAAATTTTAAGATAGCACATTTCAAGGTTTACGATTAAATATTTAATTTTTTCCAGTAATATTAAATTTTAAATAAATAAATATATATATATATATAATCATAAATGAATTAATAATTCTAAATATTTTCCAATAT